GAATCCCATAACAAATCCTTATTGTAATACAATACAATAAATGTAATGTTTTCCAATACACTGTCTATATTGTATTGCCATACAATAAAAAGATATTGTTTACCAAAATCCATAATACGCTGTTCATATTGGGGTTTTCCAATAGGGTGAGCCACTACATTTACCCCCCATCCCCTTTCACCCTGTCAGCAGCCCCTCCCTAACTCTTGTTATGTTAGAACCTCCTACCACCAGCACCCTTTTTACCCCCGACTGCATGACTTACCTGTGGTTTCTCTGCCTCAACTTCTGCTGCCTTCCTCGAACCCTGCTGTACTGCAGCGCTATACAGCTGTGCAGGCTCCTTTCCTACACAGTCGAACACCTCGTCACTATTTAACTGACCCCCTATGTTTGCCGCCCCCACCGCCGTCTTCTCAGCGACCTCCCCCTTTTAGAGCGCAGCTCTTGGGGCCCGTTCCCGGCTTGAGCGGCGTCGCGTCGGCGTAACCAAGGTCGTCCCAAGGTCACGTGACCCTCAAGGTCACGTGACCCCCAAGGTCATCCCAAGGTCGCCCCAAGGTCACGTGACCCTTCCCCCGAGGTCACGTGACCCCCGAAGTCACGTGACACCCCCCCCCCCCGAGGTCACATGACACCCTCCAAGGTCACGTGACCCCCTCCCCCGCCGATGTCACGTGACCTCCCCGATGACCTCATCGTCACTGATGACGTCACCGGCATCCGCATCGTCATCATCATCACTGATGACGTCACCAGCATCCGCATCGTCATCGTCATCATCACTGATGACACCATCAGTGACGTCACTGATGATGTCACTGGCATCCGCATCGTCATAGTCATCATCACGGATGACGTCATCAGTGGCGTCACTGATGACGTCATCGGAATCCGCATCGTCATCGACACTGATGACGTCATCAGTGACGTCACTGATGGCATCATTGGCATCGTCACGTGACCCCCCAAGGTCACGTGAACCCCCCCAGGTCACTTGACCCCCCCCCCAGTACCCTTCCCTCCTCCTCCTCAAGAGCTGCGCTCTAATTCACTTTTTCTTATTAACGACTCCTGTCAGTTGCTGAACCTTCTCCTCACACTTCTTCTTATGCTCCTCCAATTCCGCCTTCCACTCTTACCCCTGTCTAAGCTCCTCCACCTGTCGCTCAAGTTCGGCTCACTGTTCCCATTCTCGCCTAAGCTCTCCCGCCATGCTACCTACCTTACTTTACCATTCCCAGGTCATCTCCTCCACATCCGCTTCGGCCCTCTGAATCAAATTTCCCACCTGCGCCTCGAGCTGTACCCGCTTCTCCCGCTCTACCCGTATCTCCCTCTTCAACTCCTGAACCGCATCCTCACATTCCCTTCCTATTCTCCTAAAACCAAGTTCTACCTTCTCGCCACTCCGGCAGGTAAAGCTGCTCTACTCGGCTTCTGCTACAGTTTTGAACTCCGTCTCCATCATGCAGCACCAACGGCCACACTCCTCACATTCTACAGCGGGTCCTTCTTTTACTTTAGGCTGCGCATTCTTCTCCTGTCGCGTATTCACCATTGTCTACCGACACACAGCGCGACCACACGGCAAATATCCTACCAAAACTCAAAACCAAGAAGGCCTGGGTACGCCTCTGCCCACACAACGAACTAAACCGCCAAAGTTTCAAATGTGCAGGTGGTTCGGTCTCGTGACCCTACCTAAAAAGCCTGCTTTATCCCGAGTATTCTATCGCTACTTTAAAAACTGCTTTCTTCTACCCATAAAACCACTAGTATAAGACCGAAAATGCTTTACAGTAGGGCTGTACACCTGGGCCGGTTTTTTCGAAGCGATAGTAAACCAATTTTGGTAAACCACGGTGCCTAGGAAGGAAAAAGTACCTACCCTGCTGGAAATGGCAGGCCTGTTCCAATTGAAATGCATAGCCAAAGCATATGAGCATGAATGCGCAATTGGCGCCGATGAGAAAATCCGATGTTTTGCACATTGGTGCAACTGGAAATGCTGCAGAGAAGCCGCAGCACGGGGGAAAGCCAAAGATTCGGTTGTGGGAAAGTCAACTTTAGGGGGCAAGCGCCATGATGCCAATTGTGTCAATGTGCACGACACTCAGTTTGCTCATTACCGCTCATTGCAGCCAGTGGCGCTATGTGGCAGAGCCATTGTACGGGAGATAGCAAAGAGCCATGCACTGCAGAGAAGCGAACTCGGTGCAGTATGGCAGTGACAATGCTCAATCGCCAAATTAGCACACCCTTGCAAAAATTTTCTATGGGACCGATAGAGATTTTTATACGATCAATAGGATTTCATCGTACCGATGGGCATTCCTACTGGGCCGATAACAAGTTATATCGTACCAATACAGACTTCTCTTGTACCATTAGGAACTTCTGTGGGACAAGCAGGAACTTCTATGGGACAAGTAGAAACTTCTATGGGAACAACACGAATGTTTTCTGGTCCGGAATACAAGTGCCTATTGGTCCTTCAATAGGATCAATAACAAGTTGTACTGGTTAAACTGAAAGCTTCATTGGTGAAATGGAATGCATTTCGGATCGAGAACTTTTAATGGTCGACTGGGAATACAGAACATAAAATCTATTAGGTAGGCATCTATCAGGTTAAACAGTATGCTTAGTGGAGAAATTAGAGTTGTTATATACTAAAGTTTTATGCTTTGAGCACAGGAAAATAATTTTTGCCGCAAATATACCCGATGGCAGGCACGCAGCCAGGATTTTGATTCGCCCATGAGAAAATACTGCATGAGGGGGAGGGGGGAAAGGAGGCCCCACCAAATGAAAGGTTTGGGAGGAGGGGGGGGGGGGTCCCATGGTCCCCCCCCCCCCCCCCCCGTGCAGATACGTGCGTGCCCAATGGGTTCCTCTCTGTCAAATAAACATTTTTTTTTAGCTATATAACTTGGGTTGGGCCATGTAGACACTAATTAAATAAAACATTCAGTTAATAAAGTGAATATGAACTCTTTTTTGTCACGTGTTTTAGAATTTCCTGATTACGTACTGTCCTCCTTCGTATTATAAAACATGCGGCTGCCAGTAAAACATAAAGAAAAGACTATGGGGAACGGGAACATTGTGTGTGCACATAGTATGCACAAGATTCATGAATAATTATATATAGGCAAGCCACGAAATTCAGGTATCATCGGAACTCTGCGGTTTTAGCGGTGTATTCTGTCCTTTTGTTTTCCACGATGTTTCAGTAACAGTAATAGCGTGAACGATTGCACCAACTGGATTATGTATTCACATTAGACTTTGCTCCGTTTTATTCAGTTTTACCTGGTTTCGGAGTGGAACGTTCTCGTTTTTGTATAAATTTCGCTCCAGAACCGAGCAAATCAGAGTAAAACCGGGTCAAAAACAGAATAACACTGACTCAAAAATCCTATTTTCATCTTTCACGATTGGTCCAAAGCTCTCCGACTTCCGACGTCGGGACTTTAAAACTTTGGCGGAGTTGGCGAAAAAATGCGATACTTCAGGCTTCCATTTTGCCATGTGAACGTATCCTGTTTGAGCCCTAGCGGAGGCTACGCGCTCGTTCTGGGGCGGCAGATCACGTGCACATTCTATCGTGGGCATGCTTTTTATTAACAGAAAAGAAAAGCCGGTAGTTCCGAATAACATCCAGTAATTATTAACACCATAGAAGTCATTAAAAAAAAGCACATAAAATGCGCGCACACACACACACACACACGAAATAAGGATGACCTTCCCGAAATTATGATTGCCCCTTGTTTCACGCACAGTAAGTGTCAGGCAGCGCTTTCCACTTTGTAGTTGAGCACGGAAGTTCCTTTTTGAAAGGCATTTTACGCGCTTGTTGGCAGTTTGGGCCTTTAGTTTGGCTTCTGGCTTCCCAATGTTGTAGTTTTCCTTGATGCCGGGAAGAGTGTACACTCCAGCAATGAAGTTTTCGAGATTCAAAAGCCCTTCATTTTGCGTCCAATTAAAATGAAGGCCAGCCGAAACAGGGTACGTCAGACTCGTTACATTCGTCTTTGGCAGTAGCCTTTTCGGAAACTTGGACAGGAAATTGGTCTTCAAATCTCCCGTCACTTTCACAATTTTATCACTTGTGTCTTCACTAACTGGCCCAGTACTGTGACCGCTTCTGGTTTCATTGGTACTACTTAGTTCACGGGGAGTTCTTGTCTCGCCGTGTTCCGAGACAACCGAGCTTACAGAAACTGCTGTCGGCAACGTCGGTTCTGGTCCCTGGCCTGTTGTAGCATTTTTCAGGACACAACTTCGTGTCAGGACTGTTGTCCTTGGCAAGCTGGGTATACTTAGTGGCTCCAAGTATATTTTTTTTGTTTGGGTTCATGGTCGCACAGCGCGACACCCTACGTGTCTCAAATCCAAATTTTAAAATTCGCACCGACGTCGTCCCGCAGCAAATGCAATTTTCTAATTAAAATGACAAATAAAAATTACTCCGTTATAAGTTTAATATATATTCAGTATTTACATTTGACAATTAAGTAATACCATAATTTTTAGAAACGTTTATTATTTTCTTAAGTGCATCAGTCACACTTGCGGGCTTTGTGTTTTGCGAAATACACAGCCTACACTAAAATTGAACGAACTGCAAGGCCCCTTTGACCATTGAACATTATGTGTTGCCACTGGGTGCAGTATAATCGCGATGTTTTATGACGCGAGCTATGTATTAAAACAAGTTTCCAAGTCCGGGAAGCAGACGACACGGAGAACGATCGTCTTGGTCCCGTCTGCGGCGCTCGCGGAGTGATACGCGGCCGGCCGGCCAAAATAAGTTTTCAAAGTGCAATTTATGCAAATTTTTTGCTAAATTAAGGTCAATAAGTAAATTTTTTAAGTATTCGTTTACTTCAGCAAACAAAAACAAGAGTTAAAATACGAAGTATTGTAGTCACGTGATACATCCCCTGCGTCAGGAAGTGGTCCGACGTGATAAACCGAACGGTCCGGCCGGAGGACAAGGAAGCGTGGAAGAAGAACCGAAGCTGCCGAAGCAACGTTCGCGGGAAGTCTAACCGCTTGAAGCACGTTGCAGAGTCGAGACCAGTTGAGCCACCGGAATTTTACGAACGATTATGCAAGCGTACGTCTTGAGGACGACCATGAGCCACATATCATCTCAAATTTCTGCCCGTCAAGCCTTGTGACGAAACGGAATCGGACTTCTTCAAGGCGCGGATCCTAAAGTTGTTTGGTAAGTTCTAGTCTCCACACGCGTTGTGCCCAGTCTAATGAGCATCTCCTTTAAGTTAAAAATTGCAGCTTTAAGCACAATATGTGGGAGTAACTCTCGGCGCCGGTTGTTTCAGGATCGCAGAGTGACGCGGAAACCCAGTGACAGTAAGCGGGTGCTAGTACCTCCGACGAGATGAGTGACTGCCCGGGAGGGCTGGAGGAAGCTTGTATGAGACAGGTAATTGTAATTTCATTTTCGCGCTTGCGAAGCAATTCATAAGACGTATTTTAAATTTTAGATTTTCTTTAGTTATGCCGCCACAAGTACAAGGAATTTCATTGATAGGGGTGCCGTGTGTTTGTTTTCATATGCCCAGAAACTAGGTAAAGGTTACGTGTTTTAAAATTTTTTCCGTGCTGATAGGCTTAAGGTTAGAATGAATTATATCTGTCAAGGCGTGGCGCAGTCTGTGTCTATTTGGAGAAGAGGTATGTGTGCGTGCGTGCGTGCGTGCGTGCGTGCGTGCGTGCGTGTTCGTTTGTTTGTTAGTTAGTTTGTTGGGGGAGAGAGAGGAGATGAAGAAGAGGAGGAGGGTGAGGGATCACGTCGAATCATTCAAATCGTTAACTCTGACAGTAATGAGGTAAGAAGGATACCTGCTAGTTACACCGGTTCGGTTTTGTGCCAAACTCAAATTGCGTTTTGCCGCGTAAATATTGCTACCATTTTTTTTTTCATCAACAAAATTAATTTTGAGGCATGCCGTTGACAAATAGGACCCCTGTTTTCAATCCCAGTCCAGGTTATTCGCGACTCCAGCGAACTATAGATGGCGCGCTGCTCAGGCAAAATTCGGACGAAAGAAGGTCGTTTTTGTTGTTCAGCATGCGGACCATCACAAATTCCTGCACTGCAGCGTAAAATCGGTGTTACATTTGAATGCAAAGCGATTTTTCGTCCCTAGAAACGTTCGTCTACTCAGTGCGTAGGAAGGACCCGGTGGAATCATTAAAATAATTACTGGAAACAATGTTCGTTTCTATGCTGCCTACGAGAACCAAGCAGCGATAGCAGACGACAGAGTCGGGACAACCTCCTCTCCTGAGCTTCTCGGCGCTGCCGCTACGCGGCGTCGATTTCGCTGGAGTCACGAACATTGCGCTGGTAAATTTCCTGTACATAGTGCTGCTTCGAAGATGAACTGAAATTTATGTCTTCTATGTGTGCATTGGCAATGGCATGTGGCTCAACAAGACTTCACACACGAAAATTCTCAAATAGAAGAGGGAATCAATGTTCAGCCGGTAAGGTTTGGTAATTATCTCCGCCACAGATGGCCTCCTTGGCGAATTGTAACCGGCAGACCTTCAAACCGCACAAAGGCTAAGCAAAGCCACAACTGGATGTAGCAAGACTAAAAGCTTTATAATATACTGTAAGGACTATGGCTTTATAATAAGTCTTTTATAGCAAAACATACTGATCTGAAAAGCATTGTTTGTGGTTAATTTAAAGTGGTATACGGAAACTTCGTCGTATTGTATTAATTCTGGTTCACTGCACAGTTAAAAGGTTTGTCTTCGTTTGCTGCCAGAGAAATATAGCTTGCGATGAACTAAATCAAAGTTATGACTGCTGGTGTCATGTACATATTCAGAACTTTTTTTATTAAAATAATTGTAATCAAGTGTTTTTATGGGTTTTAGCACTGTGATTAAGATACGTCAATGTGTTTTCTAAGAAAGACTACTAATTTGCAGTTTGTATCTTCTCCTAAAATATTTTGTAGATCTGAGCATGTATTCATACCTGAATATGTGCCAGGCATTCCACAGTATGTGTATAATTGTTTACTAGGCCTGTAAGCTTCCCCACTACATCATTGCCGCTATGTTAGCGCTTCCCAGCTATTATTCGAGAGAGATAAGTGTTTCTCATGATCAATTAGGTTGAGATTGTTTAGCGTTAATGTTTTTGAGTCCCCCATTTTTAATTCCTGACAGAGCGCTTCAATGTCCGTTTATTTTTGGTTTGCCGCTATTTATCACCACAAGCAAAAACATCACGCCACTGGGATTAACCTGAAGCTCACCTCATGATTAACGACGCTGCCGTCCACTGTCTTAAGGTGGGCCTACGTTCATGGGTACTAGTCTAGTGGTTCTGGAGTTGATGTTGCTGAGATAACCGAGACGCCGATTTCTACGATGGCCTCTGTCAGCATCATGGTCAATTACAGCTGGCCCGAGCCCGAACCAGGCCAATCAACGTGCTGGCCCAAGCCCGGCCCGGGCCCACAGTCAAAAGTCCGAGCCCATCCCAGGCCTGGGCTTTCGGGTAAGCCCAAGCCCGTGCCCAGTGGTATAATCTTTAATCCAATCGCCATATTGAGATAAAGACGTCAAAATACCTCAGTTTAAATGTCGGAAGTGCCTCAATAAGAGCAGGTATAAATATTAGTAGCAAATTTAATGATAAAAAACTGCCGACTTTACTCAACAAGATTAACAATTTAATCAAGCGTTTCGTCTCCCATGCGGGGAACATCATCAGTGAAACCTTCAAGCAGGAATGAGCGAAAAAACTTCAACAATCTTATTTAAGCAAGTCCGCATAAACATCGGGGGAGGGGGCCGCGGTTGGAGTTGCAAGCTGATGAGTCACTTCAGATGAACCATGATTCCACCAACCTTCGTGGACCCCACCTTTGTTCACACGCCAGAGTGGACGCATTCTCAAAGTCGAAACTGTGACCCGTATTCCAACAATGGTCTACGAGTTCCGTCTTCGCTGTGTTTGTTTAGGCGAGTGCAGCGCTTCCAGCCTGTCTCCCCAATGTAGGATGTGTCACAGTCTAGACAGTTCACTTTATACACAACACCGCACTGGGACTCTGGGGGGGTGTAATCTTTAGGTTTAAAAATGAAGTCACATAGTTTATGGTGGGGTTTGAAAGCTGTGCGGATATTCAAAGGGGCGAGGGCCCTGCGAATGGACTCAAAAGCACCTCTCAAATAGGGTATTGTTGCTTGCCCTGTCCTAAGTTGTCCATTATCCTGACTTCTTTGTCCCATCTGTTTGTGCGTGTTATCAATAAAACGTTTCGGATAATTCCGCTTCATCAGCAGGTCAACAATAACAGCATCCTCAGAAGCGCGCAAGCCGCCTCGGTGGCTCCGAGGCGAGAGCGCTGGCCTACGGATCCCCATGTGGTGGAGGCTTATTGCGGAGCAGGCGCCGTGTAACCGAGCTTTCCGTTGCACGTCAAAAGATCCCCAGGTAGTCTAAATTAATCCTCAGTCCTCCGCTGGGGCGTGCCAGATGCCCGTCGTTGGTTTAGCACGTAAATCCCCCAAATTTTACTTTTTTCTCAGAAGCGCGCAATTGAGGATTAGAAGAAATGCGTTCGGACCGGTGTAGTAGGTTTTTTACGACAGCCCTTTTATGTTCGACAGAATGATGCGAGTTAAAGCTTAAGAGGTTGCCTGTATCACAGCTTTGCGGTACACTGTTGTATATAAGCGACCGGTACTATTTCGGAACACATTAACATACAGAAAAGGCTTTGCACCGTTCTGTTCAACTTCATGTGTGAATTGGATTGATGATTCAATGCTGTTTAAAGCTAAATGAAAGTCACATCACAAAAGGGACATGGCAAAGGCCACGCATGCGACAAGAGCGAAGACGGAACTCGTAGACCATTGTTGGAATACGGGACACAGTTTCGACTTTGAGAATGCGTCCACTCTGGCTGCTTGAACAAAGGTGGGGTCCAAGCAGGTTCGTAGAATCATGGTTCATCCGAAATGACTCATCAGCTTGTAACTCCAGCTGCGGCCCCCTCCTCAATGTGTATGCGGACTTGCTTAAATAGGACCGTTGAAGTTTCTTTCGCTCATTCCTGCTTCAAGGTTTCACCGACGATGTTTCCCACATGGGAGACGAAACGTTTGATTAAATTGTTAATCTTGTTGAGTAAAGTCGGTGCAGTTTTTTTTATCATTATGATTCCCGGCTTTTGGAATATTTTTGCAGCACATTTAATGAAGAAATGGATGCCGATAAACACCTGCGAAGGTTGACTAAAAATGAACAGAAACATCCAATCAATAGTTATGATTGCACTAAACGGTTGCTATGTGGATGTTTTTTTATGTTCGACAGCTCAGCAAAGTCTGCGGATCTGGTTATGCTTCCTGTACGAGACAGATCACGAAGCGGTTGCTGACTGACCAGTTGGGGCGAAAATTTTTGTGGGAAGGACGCAAGAGAAAGTTGACATTCAGGAATCTTCACCTTGCTGAGTGCATCATAAGTAAGTAATCTCTGGAACAGTAGTGCAGATCGCTTCACATGGAACCAGATTTATGGAATTGTTGGTGTCATACTTCTGTTGCTTTCTTTTATCAGATGCAGTGCAGAGCTGCCATAAATGTGAAGACTTCAAGGTAGAAACCATGGTCACGGATTAACTTCGCCACGCACCTGCCTGACATGAGTCATCTCAAATGGTAAGCTGGTCTTATTAAGCTGATGTTAGCACAAAAATCAAACTTTTCTTGAACAGTAAGTATGGTGTGCAATTTCTTCAAAGCATAATTTCTATATGAGAGTATTTGAATGCTTTAAATATTAAAGCCAGTGACACCTTTTTTGGTTTAATTTGAGAGCAAATACTACAGGTGTAAACAGTATTGAATAATTTTAAATAAAAAAAAAATTTGTTTGGAGTGTTTCTATAAGAGGAAAAATTTCATTATGTAATAGTACCTTATTATGGATTAAAAAGAATGCATAGACAACGAATTTTAAGAACACTGATATTTGATGTAAATCTAACAAACAAATGTTGGCAATACAGTACACACATCCAGCATGAATGTGCTTTAAAAACAAGGCATAAAATACTTGTGATTTATTTACATCAGTTCCAATTCTTGCATATTCACTTCACTTTGAACTTCACTGTTTTATTAGTTTTGTTTCAAAGAATGGTAAACCACTGCTCACATATCTTTAACGTAACATTTTTTCGTTGCTTTTCAGGAACATTCTGCACCACAGGAGAGAGAGATGTGAACTGCCTTAAGTGGGCCTTGAATGCGCTGAGCTTTTTATTATGTTTATCAGACATTTTTTTTAAGCAAAGTATCCTGCATTGTTCAGTAAGTATACCTTATTTTGAAAACCTCATGCTGTCTATGCAGCATTGTTCAAAAATTATACTTTATTTTAAAAGCATCAAGCACTGCTCGTCTGTCTAACAGTAACAATAAAGAGTTAATGGCGATTTGTTTGGCACTGCAACTTTTTCTACAGAACGGATGTGCATGCCTGACAGGCTGGGCAGGAATTTAGTGCGCTACTCACGTTCAAAGTTACGCTGCAAGACTGCAGCGGCATCTTTTGCCATGCAGTCGGTACTACAGCTCTCATGGAATTCTGGTGTCCTAGTCACTAGAGCATATGACTACTGAAGCCTTAGACTTCAGTAGTCAATTCCTCAGGGCCGTTCGTCATAGCTTATGACAATGTTTGTGTCCAGTATTTCAGTTCTCTCGCATGTGGCGAGGTCCACCTCACTAAAACGAGTCAGCATCAGTAGTGTCGTCTGCATTGATCCTGTGATAAAGCTTCTGAGCTTGATGGTGAAAAAAAAACTTCAATATAAAGAATGTCTGCTGCTGGCCTGATTGCTACATTATACATCTGTAATGCGCCATTTGGGTATACATTGAGAGCATGCACGGGCCATACAGCAAATCTGCCCTCTGAGCTCTTGTTTTGTAAAGAATTGGACTCTTATCCGTTTAAATTTTTCTGTAGGACAGTTTACACGCTATATGCTAGCATAAAATGAAGGCTGCTTAGGCACTTCCTTGCCCTCCTGGCATAGGGCTGGTCCCTATACCAGGAAAGGTAATATTTCTGAGGTATGTACATGGTACATCCACAGGATCAGGCTGAACATCCTACAATGGTCCTGAATGTCCAGCTGCATCAACCAGATTGCGTTAGTGGTACGTTTTCTGGGGAACCATTTTGCACTGCACAGAAGATACTTTCAATGTTGGATGAATCGTAGCAGATATCCACTGGATATGTTAAATGTCCGAACAACACATTTCTCGGATGTTTAATAGACGGTTGCTGGTTGACTGGGTACCATCAAACCAATGTGCACCGGCGCACCTGTTGTCAATTACCGCTCATTGGTTTTCGCCCCCTAAACGCCATCAACCCAATGTGCACAGGGGTGCCTGTCGTCAATTGCCGCTTATTGGTTTTCGCCTCATAAATACCATCAATCCAATGTGCACAGGGGGGCCTGTTGCCAATAGCCGCTCATTAGTTTTTGCCCCATAAATACCGTCAACCCAATGTGCACAGGAGCACCTGTTGCCAATTGCTGCTCATTGGTTTTTGCCCCATAAATACCCTCAATGCAATGTGCACTGGGGTACCTGTTGCCAATTGCTGCTCATTGGTTTTTGTTTCATAAATGCAATCCGCACAATGTGAATTCTCTAAAGGATTACCAATTCAGCCCAATGTGAATTCCCTAAAGGATTACCAATTGGTGCACATAGGTTTTTGTTTCATAAATGCATATTGCTCGATGTGTCTGGACCTACAGTTGCACATTGGTTCAATGTGAATTTTGGCCTCATTTCACATCGCCCATTTCCAGCAGGGTAGGTACTGTAATAAACGGCTGGATAAAGAACAACAATAATTATTTTTGATTGGGCAATAAGATGCGCCATCTATCGGTGAAACAAGCTAATCATTTTGCTTATCCTCTTTTTTCCGCTGGTTGTTATCGATTTAGTATGGTATTTTAAGTCAAAATATAGTAATGTTGTACTTGAAAACCAATTTGTTTGCTTCCGATGGTACGAAGAAATTTTAGCTAGTATGCTAGAGATTGTCGACGACTATTCGAAAATGAAAAAAAAAACATTTCCTTCAATGTGTTTCGCCATAAACAACGCATAAATTTCCCGTGTTCCTTCCAGTCTGGCAACACCGGTGCTGTAGTTTCGTTTTTGTTCTTTGCGACGCACGTTTCTGTGATTCCTGCTGATCTCAACTGTTTGCCCTCTCTTGCGTTTGCCCAACCGATCCACCGGTGACGAGAAGCTAAGCTTCTCGTCACCGTTAAATTACTGGCCACAGGGGAAATGTAGAAACATCGATGCTGCCGGTATACAGTTGGTGCACTGCGAACAAAAAAAACAGCACAATGTCCCAGCGGTTCACCCTGAACGAAGACTTTATCGAGGATAACCGCCTTTCTACGCAAAGTAATCCCTGCTCACGAGTTGGCGTGCATAGTGTAACAAATTAAACATGTTGGTATAAATATATAACAACACTCGTTCGCAAAACATTTTTTACTCACCATAAAAACACTTGCAAGGCTTATGTGCCGTCACATGTCTTGGATCCCGGACTGCTGAAGAGTGATGCGTTCGCGGAATGCTGCCGTTTGTTAGTTTAGTAGTACCTCTTGACTACCGCTTTGCTTTACGTGCACATAGGGTGACGCTGAGTCATTAATATAACAGACGGATCGAAATGAATGTTCAGCAGAACCAAGCAGAACTATTAGCCCTCATTAAAGGGGTACTCCACCGATTTTTTGAGCTACCTCAACTAACTATATTTTCTGACTCCCCGGCGTTTACTCTCTCCGGTATGCTTTTTAGAATCGCGAAATTCATAATAGTTATTGCGAAATCGGCAAATGAAAATGATGCAAAAACCAACATTCAAATACACGCGCGCTTTTCAGGGCCGTGACGTCAGTGGCAGGCAGGCTTGCCAGTCGAGCAAGCAGCCAAACAATGGAATATGCCAATCATTTGTTCCGTGCTGGAGCGCGGGTACTGCAGCGAGCTTCCCAAGCATTCATTTGACACCATGAAACTGCTTCGAATCAGTTTAAAACGAAATCTACAGCCCAAAGAGTGAACCCCTGCCTTCCACTGAGGTCACTTTTTCATTGTTGCCAGTAGAGACTTCGAGCTTGAAAAACACGGAGAGGACCAAAACTGTAAATTCATAAACTTCGCGAAAAAACAATATTTTTACCTAATATTTGGGATACTATTTTCGCGATGTTTGTTGGTTAGTTTAGCCAAATTTCAAGCAAATCGGAGACAATGAAAAAATCGGTGGAGTAGCCCTTTAAGCGACGCCGCTTTAAACGACCTAAGTGCGCAGCTCTTAGGGGCCCGTTGCCGGCTTGAGCGGCGTCGGCGTCGGCGTCAGCGTAACCAAGGTCACCATAAGGTCACGTGACCCCCAAGGTCATCCCAAGGTCACCGCAAGGTCACGTGACCCCCCTCCTTCGAGGTCACGTGACAGCCCCGAAGTCACGTGACCCCCCCCCCCCGAGGTCACGTGACACCCACCGAGGTCACGTGACCCCCGCCGAGGTCACGTGACCTCCCCGATGACGTCATCGTCACTGATGACGTCACCGGCATCCGCATCGTCATCATCATCATCACTGATAACGTCACCAGTGACGTCACTGATGAGGTCACCGGCATCCGTATCGTCATCGTCATCATCACTGATGATGTCATCAGTGACGTCACTGATGACGTCCTCGGCATCCGCATCGTCATCGCCATCATCACTCCTCCACCTGTCGCTCAAGTTCGGCTCGCTGTTCCCGTTCTCGCCTAAGCTCTCCCGCCATGCTACCTACCTTACTTTACCATTCCCTGGTCATCTCCACATCCACTTCGGCCCTCTGAATCAAATTTCCCACCTGCGCCTCGAGCTGTACCCGCTTCTCCCGCTCTACCCGTATCTCCCTCTTCAACTCCTGAACCGCATCCTCACATTCCCTTCCTATTCTCCTAAAACCAAGTTCTACCTTCTCGCAACTCCGGCAGATAAAGCTGCTCTACTCGGCTTCTGCTACAGTTTTGCACTCCGTCTCCATCATGCCGCACCAACGGCAACACTCCTCATATTCTACATCGGGTCCTTCTTTTACTTTAGGCTGCGCATTCTTCTTCTGTCGCGTATTCACCATTGTCTACCGACACACAGCGCGACCACACGGCAAATATCCTACCAAAACTCAAAACCAAGAAGGCCTGGGTACGCCTCTGCCCGCACAACGAACTAAACCGCCAAAGTTTCAAATGTGCAGGTGGTTCGGTCTCGTAACCCTACCTAAAAAGCCTGCTTTAACCCGAGTATTCTATCGCTACTTTAAAAACTGCTTTCTTCTACCCATAAAACCGCTAGTATAAGACCAAAAATGCTTTACAGTAGGGCTGTACACCTGGGCCGGTTTTCTCGAAGCGATGGTAAACCCATTTTCGTAAACCACGGTGCCTAGGAAGGAAAAAGTACCTAGGTACTGTAATAAACGGCTGGATATAGAACAACAATAATTATTTTTGATTGGGCCATATGATGCGCCATCTATCGGTGAAACAAGCCAGTCATTTTGCTTATCCTCTTTTTTCCGCTGGTTGTTATCGATCTAGTATGGTATTTTAAGTCAAAATATTGTAATGTTGTACTTGAAGACCAATTTGTTTGCTTCCGATGACGGATCGAAATGAATGTTCAGCAGAACCAAGCAGAACTATTAGGCCTCATTAAGCGACGCCGCGGCCATTTTCCATGTAGGGGAATTTAACCATGGTTAAAAGCGCTAAAAAAGACGCACACAAGATAGAAGCCAAACACGGACGCTACTCACAACTGTATTGGGAAAGGAAGATGGAAGTACATATATATTTATCTGATACACTTATCGTCACCCAGGCCACTCATGCACGAGATACAAGAGCATAAAACCGTTTACCATGTATTTATCGAAAAAACGAATCTCAGCGTTATACAATGCTATTGACGTGTCACTGACGCACTGGGGTCCCCTCTTCTTGATAAAATATGCCTCTTGCAGTTCGCGCGCCCTTTGAATTCTGCTTCTACCGAGAATTTTGGTATCACCGAAGCATGGCTCGGATTTGCAGACCCTACAGAGGCATATATTATAGAGCAGAGGGGACCCCATTGCGTCAGTGACACGTCAATAGCAT